GGTCACGACCCTGGCCCTCTGCCCGGGGGCGGACCTTCTCCTGGGGGCAAGGCCAAGGCATCTCGAATTGGGACTGGCAAGGCTCCCGGTGGAGGTGTTAAGGCTGGGGGTGGGGGGGGCAGAGGAGAGCCAGGGTATTGGGGTCAGGGTGGCATTAGCCCAGCTCAAGTTGAGCGCTGCTGACTCAGCATCCTGCCTGGCCAACCCCGGCCCCCAAAACCCTGTGCGCTCCAAGGCAGAGATGGGAGATGGCGCCAGTGCTACCGCTGGTGCTGCCCCTCCAGTCTAGAATCCGCCTGGCGCAGGGTCTCTGGCTCCTCTGCTGGCTGTTGGCACTGACCGGTGGCCTCACCATCCTCATTAGTGGGCACCTCCTGGTCCAGCTGTGGCACCTTGGCACCTTCCTGGCTCCCTCCTGCCTGTTCCCTGCCCTGCCCCAAGTTGCCCTGGCAGCAGGAGTAGTGGTTCTGGGCACAGGGCTGATGGGTGCAGGAGCCAGCCGGGCAAGTCTGAATGCAGCTCAATATCCTCTCTGGCGAGGGGTCCTGGGCCCACTGTTGGTGGCCGGCACAGCGGGGGGTGGAGGCCTCCTGCTTCTCGCCCTGGGACTGGCCCTGGGTTTGCCCTGGAGTCTGGGAGCAGGCCTGGAGGAAGGCCTGGGGACTGCCCTGGCTCACTACAAGGACACGGAGTTGCCTGGGCACTGCCATGCCAAGCGACTGATTGATGAGCTGCAGCTGAGGCACCACTGCTGCGGCCGCCATGGCTATAAGGACTGGTTTGGAATCCAGTGGGTCAGCAGCCGCTACCTGGACCCCAATGACCAGGACGTGATTGAGTGAGTAACCGGCTTCTTCCTTCCCTTCTCCCCAAACAAGTTCCCTCCTGCTGCCTTGAAACGGAGCCTGGTGGGTGAGACTGGGTTACAGTCCTGCTGCTTCTTGGCTGTGTCAACGGCAGGGCAGGTTACCAAACCACTCTGAGCCCATTTCATCATCTGTAAAACAGAGCTGTCGGTTGGTGATTCAAACCCACCAGTCACTCCCTGGGAGCAAGATGAAACTCCCCTATCCCGTGGAGACTTACAGCCCCGGAAATCCTATCCAGGCGGGCTGGAAGTCAGAACGGACCGGTAACCCTGTGGGGTTGGTTTCTTGCATCAGGTGAGGAGCCCTAAGGTGCAGTGGGTGAAGCATTGGGCTGCTCACCTGAAGGCTGGTGGTTTGAACCCATTTGGTGCGCCTCGGAAGAAAAGCAAGGCGGTTTTCTTCTATAGCGATTTTCACCCTCAGACACTCGGGGAGCAGCTCTTCTCTGTCCGATCAGGTTGCCCCAGATCCATCATCAATTGGATGGCAGTGGGGGGGAGGGGTGACACACAGGCAGGGTTATCGTAAAGAAAACCCGTGGTGTCTGCTGCCTTATGCACACGAAAGCCTTCAGTCCGTATTTGTACTGACACTTGTCCTTTCCCAGCTCCCGTGCCCCCAGCGTCTTCCCCAGTGCTGTCTCCTGACAGCCTAACACCGCCTCCCTTTGCAGCCGGACCCAGAACAATGTGGAAGGCCTATACCTGACCGATGGGGTCCCCTTCTCCTGCTGCAACCCCCACTCACCCCGGCCTTGCCTGCAGAGCCGCCTCTCAGACCCGTACGCCCACCCCATCTTCGATCCCCGCCAGCCCAACCTAAACCTCTGGGCCCAGGGTTGCCACGGGGTGCTGCTGAAGTACCTACAGGGCTGGGCAAGCACCGTGAGCGGCATGCTGGCCGGCACCTTCCTGCTGCAGGTGAGCCTGCCAAGTGCCCAAGCTCTGCCTCCCACTGGGACTGCCCTCTCTCCTTCCTGCCGAGGGGACCAGCTGACCCTCTGTGACCTCTGCCCCCTTGCTTTCCCCACAGGCTCTGGTGCTCCTGGGCCTGCGGTACCTGCAGACGGCGCTGGAGGGGCTCAGGGGTATCATAGATGGGGAAGGAGAGACCCAGGGCTACCTTCTTCCTGGGGGCCTGAGAGATGTGCTGAAGACAACCAGGTGGAAGGGAAGGGCTGCCCACAGGCCAGCCCCTGAGGACACCCCTGCGACAGAGGCATCTCCTGAGGAGGGGGCTGCCTGAGGGGTAAGGTGGGGGCAAGGCTGGAAGCCTCCAAGTCCTTACCAGAGCTCCCAGTGAGGGGTGGGGGGTCCCTGGGATGAGAGGGAGAAGATGGACAATCAGCTGGACTGGAGGCAGGGAGAAAACCAGGTGTCCTAGAGTCCTAGCCCTCGGTGGAACCGAAGAAGGCGAGCACAGGGTGGAGCTGGGGAGGGCGTGCGGAACGCCAGCGGCGCAGACTCAATAAAGCTTTGGGACTGAAGCCACAATCCGTTCCTTCAAGGGGGCTGGGGACCCTGAGAGAAGCCGGGTCTCCATAGGCTTAACCCTGGCTCAGCCTGGGCGGCCCAGGGCAACAAGGAGACCCAAACAGACCAGCTGAGCGAAGGAGAGAAAGGGCCTGCTGGATTTCGGGGGGTGGGGGTCTTTATTCCGGAGGTAGGAGAAGGGGGCAGCATGCTGAGGTGGGAGGGTCCAGCCCGGCTCCTCCAGCCCCCTCCCAGCACATGCCCAGCCCCAATAAGTTACACCCAGTTCCTCAGCGGCCCAACCTCCTGAGTCTGTCTGTCTGTCCTGCTGGACCCATAAGGCTGACTTGGCTCAACACAAGGGCCAATTGTCCCCAGCCTGCGGGCAGCACCACGTGGCAGGGGGAGGGGGGAGGAGGGCGAGGAATGCAATAGGAGAAGCAGCTGGGCCACGCCCTGAGCTCTGGAGGGGCAGAGGCTGCCCCTGGCTCTGAGGGGTCCGGACTTGGAAAACCATATCCTGGGTAAGCCGGGGGACGCCCGGTCGGTCCCACAAGGTCCATGCCTGTGACAAGGTGGTGGTCAGGGTGTGATGGCCGCCGTCACACTTCGATGGCTGGGTCGGAGCCCCGGCCCTGCCGCTGCAGCTGCTCTTCCTGCTTCATCTTGGGCTTCTCCGTCCGAGTGTGCCACACCAGCACCTGTGAGTGCATGCAAGCATGGGGCAATGGGGCAGAGGCCTCCTGAGAACCTAGCTGAGCCGTCCCTCCCCATCATCCCTTGGACACTTTGTGCCTGGGCTGCAGAGCCAGAAGGCCCTGGGGTCCCCACACTGGGTCCTGACCCCTGGCCCAAAGAGCTCTGGTGGCATTGGAGTTAAGTGTTGGGCCGCCAACTACAAGGTCGGTGGTTCAAACCCACCAGCCTTCAGCTCCCACGAAGACTTAACAGCCTTGGAAACCTGGGGGCCACTTCTCCGTCCTGTGGGGTCACTGTGAGGAGGTATCAAACTCGACTATGGGTTGCTCTGTCCCGCTTTTACCCCTTACCCTCTCTGGGGCAGCGAGAGAGAGGAAACCCCTCTGTGGGGGGGGTTGACCCTGTGCCGCCACAACAGGCCCACCCTAAGGACTGCCTGCGAGGGTGGCGCAAGAACGGCGGTGTTTCCTTCCCTTGCACCGTAGGGTCCCCAGGAGTCGGATTCAGCGGAGAACAGTGGGTGGGGATTTTTTTTAACCCCTTACCCACTCTGTAAGGGACCCTGGTGGCACAGTGGGCGAAGCCCTAGTGGTTAACAATGCAAACACACCTGCCAACCTTCTAGAGAAAGATTCCCCAAGCACTAGGGACGGCTCTCCACTGTCCCTAAAGGGTTGCCCTCCAAGAGACACCACCCACTGGATGCTGACACCAACCCAACAGGGGGGCGGGGGGACAGGAGAGAGGGCAGGCTTCTCAGCGCCACCGGGGTTCCCAGATGCTGGGAGTCAGAGGGCAGGAAGGGACTCCACATCCCCGGCTCCCAGCTTCTGCTTCAGCCAACAGTGAGGTTCTCAACCTGTGGGTCGAGACCCCTTTGGGGGGTCGAACAACCCTTTCCCAGGGGTTGCCCAATTCATAACAGTAGGGAAATGACGGTGATGAAGTAGCAACGAAAATACTGTTATGGTTGGGGGTCACCACCACATGAGGACCTGTATGAAGGGTCTCGGCTTGAGGAAGGGTGAGAACCACTGAGCTGACACCACGGTGGAGTCAGAGCTCCCACCCCCAAACCAGGTTCCGGCGGCCTGTCTCCTTACCCGAGTACAGTTGGCAGCCCGTGGCTCCAGGTCCCTGGGCTCCGAGACCAGGTGGCTCAAGAGACTGCTCTCCAGGTGGCCCCGGGGAGCCAAGCCATCAAACTGGGCGTGGGGCTTAGCCGACAGCAAGGGCAGAGCGACCGCGAACCCTGCCATGTCCATGGGGAAGGGCCTGGTAGGCTCCCATGCCGTATGGAAGCCCACGACCCGGCCGTCCTGCACCCTAGGGCCCTCGAACCTCAGGCCACCAACCAGTCCCACGGGCCACACTGAGACGCCATGGGTCCAGCGCATCTAGACAAGAGAAGAAAGGGGGGCTTCCCAGTGAGGGGGAGCAGCAAACAGGCCTCCCTCCCCTCCACTGCTCCCTCCTCCTTTCCCAGCAGCCCCCAGCAACCAAGGCAACACAGAAGCTGTCCCACTTGGCCTCCGCCCCCCATCCCCACCCCGTGGGGCTCACCTCCTCAAAGAGCTCCCGGCTGTATGTGTTGTCGTCATCCGCAAAGTACACCACTCCTCGGGTCCCCGGTGGGGGTGGGTCCTTCTCCCCGCCTACGGCACCCCCGCCACCCCGAAGCCAGTCCAGGGCCTTGTTCCGCTGTTCCACGCCACGGGGCCGGACCCAGCCAGGTTCACCCTCTCGAAGGCGCTGGGCCTTGGGGGTGAGGACAGCCAGGTGTGTAAACAGGAGACCAGAGGCAGCCAGCAGCCCCGAGACTAGCGGGCTGGGGCCCTCAGCATCCTCCACCAGCAGCCAGTGCAGCCGAGGTACCAGGCTCAGGGTCTGGGACAGGCGGACCAGCTCTGCCTTCTGCACCAGCCTGCAGGGAAGACAGACAGGCAGGAGGGAAGGGGGAGGCGCCCTTTGCCCATTGGACGGGAACATGTGGTTTCTCCTGGGCCCCTTCAGCACCCCCACAGCCTGTCCCAAACCAGGCCCTGAACTGTCACCCGCCTCAACCCCTGCTGGGCTGTGCCTGAGGCAGGCTGTATGGTAAAGTCACAGGCTGTGACCTGGATTTGCATCCCAGCTTTGGAATTTTTCAGGGAAGAGAGAGAAAACAGCTCCATCTCTCTGAGCCTCAGTGTCCTGGGCTGGACAGAGGGAAGAAGGAAGCGGCCTGGGGGCACAAAAGTTAACCACTTGGCTGCGCGCAAAAAGGCTGGCGGTTTGAATCCGCTGAAAAGACTTATCTGAAAGAAAGATATGGCAACCTGCCTCCGTGAAACGACACCCTCTGGGGCCGTTCTGAGGAGCCCTGGTGGCTTAGTAGGTTCTGCGTGTTGGGCTGCCAACCACTAGGTCAGCAGTTCAAAACCACCAGGCGCTCCTTCGAAGAAAGATGAGGCTGTCTATTTCCTGCAAAGAGTTGAGTCTCGGAAGCCCACGGAAGCAGTTCTCGCTTGCCCCATAGGATCACCGTGAGTCAGAATCAACTCCATGGTGACGAACAAGGGGCAGTTCGACTCTGTCACACGGGGCTAAGCGTCAGAAAGGACTCCAGGCCCCATCAGAAACAAGGGGGAAATCACAGTCTTTTCTAACCAGGTTGTTTCAAAGAGTAAATGATACACAAGGGTTTTCTAAGACACCGGTTGGTCCGGGTCCTTTTCCTCCTCTGCGTGGGTTTCCACTTAGAGGATCTACTAGCAAAACCCAGCAACTCCTTCACCTGCACACCCAAACCCGACCCGACCCACCGCCATCGAGTCGATTCCGACTCGTGGTGACCAGCCCCTCTAGGGTCTCCAAGACTGTACGACTTTAGGGGAGGGGGCAGCCTCATCTTCCTCCTGCGGAGCTTCGGACCTCGCAGTCCAGCCCCTGAATAAACACACACCTGCCGGCTCCTTCAGGCCTCTCCCGGGGAGAGAGGAAAGACTGGACTGAGCTTGGAGGGGATCGCGAGGTGGGCACCATGGTGGTACTTGGGTGGGTCAATCACTGGATTCCAGGGAAGCCCACTAGCAGGTTCTTTTAGCTCTCGATCCCAAAGCACACAGCCCCACACGAGGCTGCATTTTTTATTTTATTTTTTGGCAGTATACAACATTTACTGGCACAATGCCTGGCAGGATGTCGGCACTTCTGTCAACAATGTGCGGTGGGGCCGTCGAGCCAAACCTTTTTCTACTTCACCTGACTCAACCCAAAAAACCCTAATTCACCGCCACGCAGTCAATTCTGACGTGGAGCGACCCTCTGGCACAAGGTGGGGCTGCCCCTATGGGTTTCCAAGACTGTCCTCTGGACAGGAGTAGAAAGCTTCGTCACTCTCGCTCTGAGCAGCTGGTGGTTTTGAACTGCTGACTTTGCAGTGAGCAGCCCCAGCATGTCGCCCACTAAGCCACCAGGGCTCCTTCAGTTTTATTCAGAAGTGCTCCAGTTCCCCAGCTACAGGCTCTCAGAAGTGAGGGAGTGGATTCACGGGGAGGCGTATCTGAAGACGGAGCAGGAGGCTGGGGTTCCGCTTCCCAGTACATCAGCCAGGTCCCTTTTTAGAGAAACGCAGCCCCAGCCCCCACCACTCCTTGGACACAACTACGATTCATCCACCCTGACCCACAGAGGAGCCTCCTTCCCCAAACACCACCTCCTCGGGCCCAATCTCTTGGGGGAGGCAGCCCACCCGGGGGCACTGGAATCATACCTGGCATAGGTCGGGGTGACAACATAGATGGTAGGCAGGGCCTCAGGCTCTGGGGGCTGGGCCGGGGCAGGAGGTGGGCGTCGGAGATCAGCTTGCAGCTGGGCAATCTTCAGGTCCTTCTGCCTAAGCTGCTCCGCTGCCGCCCGCAGGGGAGGGAGGCAGTCACACGGCTGGCCTGGTCCCAGGACAACAGGAAAGGGATGGGGACAGAGAACCACAGCACGTTCAGGTTCAGTATCTCAAGGGGCCTGGCCTTCTCATTCAACTCCAGGTCAAGGAATCTCCCCGCAGCTCTAACCCCTTCTTCGAGGACCCTGATGGTGGTGGTGGGGCACTTGCTGTCTCCGCCAGCCATGCCGGGAGTGTTGGTGCCAAAGGCCAGGGACTAACTGAAAGGTGTGAGGCCACCCAGTGGTATCTCAGAAGACAAGGCTGGCGATCTGCTTCCAAATAAATCAACCATTGGATACTGCATGGAACACAGGTCCACTTGGTCACTAGGAGTCAGAACCAATTGTACTGCAATCGGTCCTTGGGTTTGGCTTCCATCCTTAAATCCATAACCAGTAATCTGTTGCAATTTCCATTTCAAAATCAAGCTCTTATCTGCCCCCATCTCTTCTTCTCACTGGTCCTCATTTTGCCTTCTGGACTCACAGTCCTTCTCCAACAGGGCTCACTTTCGAACAACCGATGAGACTTGCCTCCAAACCCCAATCTATCCCCTGGCTGTGAGCAAAGATTTGTCACCACATTCCTCCCTTCCTTCCATCACGGAATAACTATTTACTGGGTGATCCGACAAGTGCGGTGCTGCGAGACTGCGGGCCACAACCCAGGCAGGGTGGCCACCCTCGTGGAAGGGTCAGTTCAGTGCCGGAGACAGGGGGCTGCGAAGGAACTGACCACACTAGGCAATTAACCACATCGCTCCACCTGGTGAGCAGGGAGGGCCACCCAGGAGACCAGACGAGGGCGGGAAGGGGTTGGGTGACCAGCTTCGGGGATGGAAGAAGGCCTGTCCCAGGGGTGACATTTAAGCTGACCTGAAGGATGAGGGGAGGCGGGGGACGTGCGGAGAGGGCAGCGGGAGGGGCAGAGAAAGGTTAACCGCTGGCCCGTGTCTGCAGCGGCGCAGGAGCTGCTGGGGGGGTGGCCGCCAGGGTC